ACAAAAGAGGCATTCAATTGTTTTAAAAATTGAATTAAATAAGAGGTGTTTAAGTCTCTTAGTAATTCCCACAAATTTGAGGAGGGAAATTTACAAATCTTTTTAAAATAACATAAACATGTCTCTCCTTGTGAAAGAGGAATGGGCAATAGAAAAAAAAATAGAGCAGTAAGAGAGATGGGAATTACTCAAAAATGTTTTGTTGATCACACTAGTGGATTCAGTGGATATCTCATCAGACCTTTCAATTTACAAAGCCTTGACAACAGTAAGTGTGCAAAATTTGGAAGGGCTGGATCTATGGGAAAATAATGGGTGTATTCACCTTTGAAGTACCCACTGTTCCATTCATGTGGGTACCAATTATGTCTAAGCACTGTCTTCAAAAGCCATCTAGCTTCTATAGCTCTTATTTTCTTCCAATCTCAAAAACCTATTATTCTTTATACTTGAGGACCTCCTATAGAACCAAGGGTCTAACCATTAAAGCAAAAGGTAAAGATATCCAATGGAAAAACTCAAAGTAATGATTTTATTATCTCTTCCCAGTGACCTCTCTTTTTCCCTCTGGGGGCCACCAAGAATAGAGCAAATAAAAACTGTAAAGTCCATGGCATATATATGTTAAAATACACGTGAAGCCGTAGATTAGGAAAAATTCACTATTTTATTTAATAAAATGCTGTAATCCCATCTAAGTTTTCCACATAGCTTCATGTTAACTGTATGTCTATAGGCTATCACATATTTCAGTTCTACAACAGTAAGGTTTAAACTAGTATGAACAAAAATTAAATAAATCCCATAACAGATAATAAGGAAACAGAGGTCAGGCTGAGTGGCTATGATGCCCTATAAAACTACAAAATTAATCAAGGAAATAAAAACTTTAGTACATTTTAAAAGTGAGTCAGCCCTGCGGCACCTAGGTGGCTCAGTTGTTAAGCCTCTGCTTTCGGCTCAGGTCATGATCCCGGGGTCCTGGGATTGAGCCCCACATCGGGCTCCCTGCTAGGCGGGAAGCCTGCTTCTCCCTCTCCCACTCCCCCTGCTTGTGTTCCCGCTCTCACTGTGTCTCTCTCTCTGTCAAATAAACAAGTAAAATCTTAAAAAAATAAAAAAATAAAATAAAAATAAAATGTTCTGGAACTAGTAATGGTTGCATAACGTCGTTGACGTCCTTAATGCCACGGAATTATACACTTTAAAACAGTTGAAACAGTGATTTTTATGTTACGTGAATTTTACCACTTTCAAAAAAAAAGTGGGTTACAACTTTCCATTTTACTCTAGAAATAAGAATGGGAACATAGTCTATCCTACTTAACCTAGCATACATACACTGAAAACCTTTATTGGCCTAGGTTTTCAGAGCATGGTTTTGCTGTCTATGCATTCCTTAGCCAAACTACTTAAACTCTCTGAACCTCCCTATCTATAAAACAGGCATACTAATAGCATTTATCTTACACAGATGTTGCTAAGATAAAATGGAGATAATATAATCTAAGCACAGTGCCAGATAAGAGTAACTGAAAAACAAGTTAGTTATAATTTCCCCAGAAACTATGCAATCTTCAATGTTAGAAATAAAACCTTACCTAGATCAAAGATTGTTGCAGTATCATCCGTGGACCTTTGGAGGTCCCTGAGACTCTTTGAGGGGAGTCCATGAGGTGAAAACTATATTTATAATAATTGTAGGACATTATTTGTCTTTTTCACTGTAATGACATTTACGTGGACAGTACAAAAGCAATGCTGGGTAAAAACTGTTGGCACCTTAGCATGAATTAAGACAGCAGCATCAAATTGTACTAGCAGTAGTATATTCTTCACTATAAATCCACAGTTTAAAAAAAAAATCTAGTTTCATTTATCCTTGATGAAACAGTAAAAATGATCAATTTTATTAAATCTCAGGCCTTGAATAAATGCCTTTTTTTTAAAGATTTTATTTATTTATTTGAGAGAGAGAGAGAGCATGAGCAGAGGAGGGGCAGAGGGAGAAGCAGGCTCCTCTCTGACCAAGGAACCCAACAGGACCTGAGCCGAAGGCAGATGCTTAACTAACTGAGCCACCCAGGCGTCCCATATACATGCCTTTTTAATATCCCTGTGGGATAAACTGGCAGTATGTATAAAGCAGCTGGGCTGTGTATCGAAGTAGATGGCTGTTGGGAGGAAAAGCACTTGTGAGGTTGTCAGAGCTGGAGCTGAACTAGCCTCTTTATCCATGAACACCATTTGTATTTGAAAGAACGACTGACAAATTACAGTTATTCAGACGTGGTTATTTGACAGACATTATCTCAAGAAAGAACTTCAAGGAAAACAGTATTTTTGGCCAATAATAAAATTCAAGCTCTCAAGTGAAAATTAGAATTTTAGAAAATGTGTATCTGCTACCATGAGCTTGACAGCAGCTTCCTAATACTTAAAGACTGTGATAAAATTAGTAGCACAATTAATACATTTTTTTAAAGATTTTTTTTTTAATTTTTATTCATGAGAGACAGAGAGAGAGAGAGAGGCAGAGGGAGAAGCAGGCTCCCAAGGAGCAGGGAGCCCAATGCAGGACTCGATCCCAGGACCCCGGGATCATGACCCGAGCTGAAGGCAGACGCTTAACCATCTGAGCTACCCAGGCGCCCTCAATTAATACATTTTTAATATTGCATAATGAAATTTGTCAACATTTGGAAGATCTGCAAAACTCAGCAAACCAGTATTTTCTAAATGACCAATACAAAACTGTACATAGGTTAAAGATCCAGTCAAAATGCAAAAGAGACCAACGGATTTTAATGTAAGAGTATGAAATGTTCACTGATCTCATTTCTGACTTCACATTGCAAATGACCTTTTCAAAACTATAACCTGTCAAGTTTTAGTGTAGTACCAAATATCCAGAATTATCCAAAAAGACTATTAAAGTACTCTTCATTTTCCCAAATCCATTTCTGTGTGAGTCCAGATTTTCTTATATACTTCAATCAAAACAACATAATGCAACAGACTGAACAGAGAAGCAGTTTTAAGAACCCACCTGTCTTCTATTAAGGAAACTTACAAAAATGTAAAACAATGTCTATCTTCTCACTAAATATTTTTGGTTTGGGAAATAGATTTCTCATGAAAAATATGTTATTTATGTAAACAAAAAATATATTACTATTTTTAATGAACTATCAAATGTTAAATTTTGCAATCTTAACTTCCAATAAGATAAATATTAATAACTATAACCCGTATAGAAAAAGGCTCTTTGGTGTCCTCAATAATTTTTAAGAAATTAAAGTGATTATGTGACCAAAAAGTTTGAGAACTGCTACCTTATCATTCACTGTTTTTGTTCACAAAACTGAAAGGTAATCTACCCCATACACAGCAGCCTTACAACATGGTGAAGACATTTGGACAGCTACAGCTTACAATACAAAGTAAATGATCCATACCAGATACCAGATTCCAACCTGGTAGAAATGTTTTGGGAACAAAGGAAGAATGTGCCCCTAATTTCTAAGGCAAGGTCATTAGTATGCTATTTAAGCACATGCCAGGTATCTAAGAAAAGACAAATCTGGTCCAAAACACACACAACGCCTGATTCTGTACCGTCTTTTCCTACCTTCCTCCCAAAATTCACTTCCAATTGAATTGAGATAGGAGATAATTGAGATTATCAATTTGAATTGAGATAAGAGAAACCTTACAAGGGATCCTCTACAAAAGCAAATCAATTTGGGGGCCTGCCTAGAGACTTTGATTTTCTCTAGAGGGTTTCTGGTTCAGTGTGAGCTCTGTTCTAACCTGCCTTAATAAAAAGACCACAAAAACAAACTTCCAATTCAAGTTTGGCTCCTCTGCTCACTGAAGACCTTGACTAGACTAATAAATGGTGTTAACATTGGAAATGGCTCTGGATGTCTAGGCTAGCCTCAGAAATAGCCTGGGTTGCAGACAGAGAATCTCTACAAATGATCTAAGTGTGATAATAACACTAGTAAAAAACAGTAAACATTTGTTGATGTGTGTTTGAAAACACGTTTGCATGCGCTAAGCATTGTTCTAAGCATTCATGTAAATTAATTTAATCCTAATAATCTTACAGAGTTACAAAATTAACTTAATCCTAATAATCTTACAGAGTTATCCCCATTTTGTCCTGGTATTCACTAGATCTGCATTATGTCACTTTTCCAACTACCATACTAAAATGCCATCCTTCCTGCCTCCTATAACCCTGAAAAACATGAAGAAAGGACTGAGCTTATAAAAACTAGATTGCTATAATCAGTATCTACCACCCAAGTAACTCGATCATTATCAGATTAAAATCTGATACTTTTTCCTACAACAAATTCCTCTCTTAAGATATTAGCTTCCTGGGAATGAAGGGGAGTAAGTCGGAGGGGGAGACGAACCATTAGAGACGATGGACTCTGAAAAACAAACTGAGGGTTCTAGAGGGGAGGGGGGTGGGGGGATGGGTTGGCCTGGTGATGGGTATTAAAGAGGGCACATTCTGCGTGGAGCACTGGGTGTTATGCACAAACAATGAATCATGGAACACTGCATCAAAAACTAATGATGTAATGTATGGTGGTTAACATAACAATAAAAAAATTATTAAAAAAAAAAAGATATTAGCTTCCTGGGCGCCTGGGTGGCTCAGTTGGTTAAGCGACTGCCTTCGGCTCAGGTCATGATCCTGGAGTCCCGGGATCGAGTCCCGCATCGGGCTCCCTGCTCGGCAGGGAGTCTGCTTCTCCCTCTGACCCTCTCCCCTCTCATGCTCTCTCTCTATCTCATTCTCTCTCTCAAATAAATAAAATCTTAAAAAAAAAAAGATATTAGCTTCCTATTTTAAGAAAAGAAAGAATTGACACTCTCTACAATAATAAGGTCTCAAAGAAAAGGAATCAAAACTTGTTGAACTTCTAGGAATACTTTTAGGAACTTCTTGATGGAAGCAAAGAAGCATTCCAGAAACCTACCTGTTGGAGCCATCTTTCATATGGACTTTGGCATAAAGAACATCCACCATGCCAGGATCATCGTTCATGTATTCTATGCCTGCCATCTCTACTTCTAGGGGTTTCCCCCCAGAAATGCCACTGCAAAGGAAAAAACATTAGATTTTTATAATTGTTTAAGCTGAGTGCTCGCTTCGGCAGCACATATATACTAAAATACTAAGCTGAAAGGGCCATTATATTTTAAACATGGTTATTATACATAGTCAAATATTACAAAAATGAAATTGTTGGTTTTTTTTTTTAACTAACAGTATTATCTAATCATCCTTCTAATTTCAAAATTAACATGTTCTATGCACACCGACTAGAAACACAATTATTTCCAAAGTCACACTATAGTTATCTCAATACCAGTTTCTTAGTACTCAGAGGAAAAAAGCCAAGGAATGACCATTCTGGTTGACAAAGACATTCACTCTGTTGCTCATCTCTCGGGTTTTACTTCATTATTTCTACAACCTGCAAACACCATTTTACTCATCTAACAATGGTGGAGGCATAAAGTAGTATCACATCTTTAACAGCAATTTGGCAATATTTATAAAAAGGCTTCAAGAACAGAAACCCTTTCTTGTGCAAGCAATTCGATTTCTAAGAGCCAAACCTAAGGAAATAATTATGAATTCAGCTACATATCCAATCACAGCTGATAAAGGAAAGCTCTTTACAGAAGAATTCCAACTGATAAATGCAGAAGTAATGACGAAATTGAAATAGCACCATTTTGCAACCCCTGATGAAATAATGGATGAAGACAATGATTAGTGATGGCTGCTGAAACTTAACAGCAAAAGACTGGAGAAATATAAAGATCCCTATAGAGGGCTGACCACACCTGAGCCCACTGATCAGGCTTACCACACAACACAAAAAAGAACAACCAGACAGTACATACTTTCTGATATGATGTAATAGGTTATACTCATACTCATGAAAAATAATTTATGCATAGGGTTTGACTGAGGCATTGTTTGGAGCAACCAAAGATTGGCAACAGATTAAATAAATACTCATTAGGGTTTTAAGAAAAGGTGCACAACAATGTGCACGCTATATATTACTATTTGTGCAAAAGGTAGGGGTAAGAAATATATATATATATACACTCATATATGTATACATTTCCTTGTACATAAAATCTCTGGAAGGATACAAAAAACTGCTAAAATTTGTTGCCTTTAGAGAGGAGAGCAGGGTGCTTGGTGGGAATGGCAGTAGAAAGGAAACTCTTCACTGCATATCCTTTGTATCTTTAAAATTTTGAACCATACAAATGTATTATCCATTAAAAAGTTAATAAAAATATAGAAGCAAAAGAAGCCAAACACAAGTTTATCTAGTGCACATATATGCAAAAGAAGCCAAACACAAAAATGTATATATTGAATGATTTTATTTATATGACATTCAAGAACAAGCTAAATTAATCTATGGAAACAGAAATCAGAACAGTTATTTCTGGAAGAAGTGAATTTACCAGAAAAGGTCATGAGGGAACTTCACAGTGATGACAATGTACTACATCTTGATTTGGCTGAAGTTACATGAGTGCATGCATTTGTTAAAATTCATCACCTACACTTAAGATCTGTGCATTTTACTATAAGTCAATTACACCTCAAAGAAAAAATACACACATACATATAAAAGACTGTGAGAGCCTTAATACTAATTATCTTTAAGTAGTAAGATTAAAAGTGGTATTTTTGTATAACTGCAACTTTGACTTTTCCAAAACTCGTATGTATTACTTTATTTTAATTGAAGTATAACTGAGATACATTATATTAGTTTCACGTGTGCATGTTATTACTTTTCTGTTAAGTAAAGCCTCACCATCCTTCTTCTTCCCAGACCCCGTACACAGACTTATACTTCAACCAGAAATGGTCTTGCAGTGCCAAGCTGAAACCCAGTTAAAAATCAGCTCACCACCACAGTCTTCTGCAAGGCCCACGAGGCCAGGAAGTCTATCCATCTTGTCTACTACTATATCCCCAGCACCTGGCACAGTACCTTCTATAAAACAGGTACTCCATAAATCTCTGTTAAACACTGATCAGATGTTCTACTCTAAAGAGAGAAACTTTTCTGGACAATTTTGAGAAGAATGTGGACACATCCCTATATGTCATTGAAAACCATGTGGTACTACTCAAAGACAAAAGGATGTTAGGACCCACCAAAAGGCAATTCTCAAAAAAGCAAAACAAAAAAGTTCTCTTGATACTGAACCAAGGCCATAGGGAGACCCTTTGTAGCCTAGGAATCTTCGTGGCAAAGATTCTCTTAGGGGCACCTGGGTGGCTCAGTCAGTTAAGCGTCTGTCTGCCTTCAGCTCAGATCATGATCCCAGAATTATCGAACCCCACACTGGACTCCCTGCTCAGTGGGGAGTCTCCCTCTCCCTCTCCCTCCCCTCCTTCTCAAAGAAATAAAATCTTTTTATTCTTAAAGATTTTATTTATTTATTTGACAGAGAGACACAGCAAGAAAGGGAACACAAGCAGGGGGAGTGGGAGAGGGAGAAGCAGGCTTCCCGCAGAGCGGGGAGCCTGATGTGGGGCTCGATCCCAGGACCCCGGGATCATGACCTGAGCCGAAGGCAGATGCTTAATGACTGAGCCACCCAGGTGCCCTCAAATAAATAAATAAATCTTAAAAAAAAAAAAAAAAGGATTCCCTTAAAACTTCAAGGCCATATTATTGCACAAGACCAGGATTTCTTTCAGTAAGAAACTAAATAACTATTTTGGACAGATATTCGAGAAAAATTATTGCCTTCATCGTAAATAGCCCTATTACCACCTCTAATAAGTGGGATATTCCAAAACATAAGCCAAGCTCTAAACTACTACCTGAGGCCTGTAGCTTCAACCAACAACACAGTGTATCTCATTCGAAGTAATAGCTAAAGAATTCAATATGAAAGACTGCCATTCAATCCTATCAAAGTGCAGCCAACCAAACTTACATGAGAAAAACAGTTTAATACTAACTATACATTCCTCTACTGGCTTTAGCTTAACCCTGCATAACCACACCATTGGTTTAGTTTCCCACTAAAATGTTTTTACTGGGGGCACCTGGGTGGCTCAGTCGTTGAGCGTCTGCGTTCGGCTCAGGTCACAATCCCAGGGTCCTGGGATCGAGCCCCGCATCAGGCTCCCGGCTCAGCAGGAAGCCTGCTTCTCCCTCTCACACTCCCCCTGCTTGTGTTCCCTCTCTTGCTGTGTCTCTCTTTGTCAAATAAATAAATAAAATCTTTAAAAATAAAAAAATTAATTAAAAAAATAAAATGTTTTTACTGGATTATGTCTAATGTTATACCCTCAAATTCTAGGGATCTATACAAAAGAGAACCATGTGAACAATGTTTTTTTATCTTCTGTAAAATTCCTGTTGAAGACACTGCTCATCATCATTTTAGGTTAATATTTACATGACAAGTTTTCCTCGGATTGAGAAAGAGCAAAGGATTCTCTCCTAAAAACTTGTTATGTTCCTTTTTATCAGATAAGAACTAATAATAATCGATGTGTTTCTTTCTGGAATGTAGTTCAAGTATACCAGTGCTTGAAAACTACTAAATTCTATTCCTCAAGTACAATTATAACCTTTCCTTGGTTTTCAGGTAAACATTTTCTCCCATTCCATCTTTATGGTTTCTGAGCTCCGCGACTTTAACATTTCTTTTGCATTATGTCCTCACCCCGAACCACCTCAAATCTTTAGAATGAGATGCAGTACCAAGAACAACAAAAAATAAAAACAATGAAACAGATCTAAAGCCTGCCTTACGAGTAGGATCAGAAACTCTTCTGACCTTCCCTAGGATTTACCAAGAGGGAAAGAAATTCGGTGGTTTGCCTGGTAAATGCTCTTTGTCTTGGTGACAAAATTATTCCACCCAGGACACCAGTGAGCATACTTTTCAACTGAGTGACATCTGAGGCAATGATCAGGAGGCAACATTTGTCCATGGGTATTTCCTCTTCTGTCTTTGCTCTTGTCCCTTTTTACCTTATTATTTGGTGTTACCTCAGGCCTATGGGGAACACTTAGGTACGAGAAAAGTGATACTGGAATTTAAAAGTACTGCATATTTGTCAGACTATATACTCAGAGCCATTGCACTGTTTGTGCTCTACATCTCACAAAGAAAAGTCACAAGGGAGACATTTAGAGCTTCAGCATTTACTGAACACTGAATAATTCATTTGAAATCGATAGAGCTACATGAGCCGTTAGCTTAAGAACTGAAATCAAAGTTCTGTTTCTGGTAGGTAACATTCCTTAAACTCAAAAAACATCCCAAAATTTAAAACAAATATTCAACTACCCATTTCTTTAAAATATCTATATAGCAGCACAGTTTTAATTCAATCTGAGTCTAGCCCCATTTATTTAACACCTCAATTTAAAAAGCCATCTAACTGTAGCCAACTACAGCATGTTATATATTAGTCTGTTCAATTTCAGTGTTTTCCTTTCTTATATTTTAATTTGGAATCTTTACATCATAAAAGGTTCAGATAAGAAAGGCCATTATTTACTCACAGTCTAAGTATACCAAGTACAAAGGCTGAGATCAAAGAGTAAGAATAAGGAAGGGAAAAAAGTTAAATGACACATTTTACTCACCAGGGCTATTACATAAGTGTGTGCATGTGTGTGTTCACGTGCACAAGTGTGTGTGTGTGTGTGTGTACATGTACTTTTCTTTAGGAAACATTTTTTCCTTTTACAGAAACAAGGCACTTCTAACCAATCTCAACAGCCAATTCTGATTCTCATTCTAATAAACTAATTTTGCACTATGTACTTTTTAAACAAGTTTACGCGGCAGAGGAGGTGGGAGAAGAGGCCTGGAGAGGCTTACGTTACTTGCTGGTTTCAAATCTTTCCAGCTTTTTGAAAAAAGCATCTTCAAAAAAATTTCTGCCTGCACTGCGGATTTTTGGCAGTGTAACTTTGTCCTATTTCAAAAGCTTTGCTGAATTTGAGAAACTACAATTACTGTTTTCATCCTGTCATGTCAAAAATTCTTAGGAACTATTAAGGCTGCTCTTCATTTCCTATGCACACCAACCCTGACATGCTTAAAGGGCTCAGATTTGGCATTTAGTCACAAAAGGCACCAAAAGACATAAAACGGAGGAACTCAGCTAAATCCTCCCATAGCTCAGGATAAAGCTTCAGTGATTAAAAACCTGTGACCTGATTTTCATCGGTAAAAAAACAAATACTTCCCTAAACCAGTATTTTATCTACCTTTAAATTTCTTCTTAGCAAGATTATCCTAATGGCAGCCAAGAAAATGCAGCTGCTTTCAGTTACATTTAGCCAAAAAGTGATCTGGAAATAAGGTATCAGGAGTAACTCTTAAACCAGGTAACATTGCTCCGCTTTGTAAGGTAAAGCATAAAGTTTTATCTTAGGCAAGGAAGTTGTAAATACTTAATTGCAAACACCCAGTTATTCTGAATTTTAGGTTAAGATGGAGAGAAACAGTTATGTCCATCAGTGAGCAAAGATCAGGACAAAGAAGTATTCTTTGCAGACTGCAAATCCAATCAGCTTATGATTTTGCTCAAGAAAAATATCTTGCCTTCAAAACAACTGGGAAAGGAGAACTGGCCCACGTATAAGTCATTATGTTACACAGTTTCATACACAACATATACATGAAAAAAATTCTAATCCTTTTACCTTGTCTTTTTTTTTTTTAAAGATCTTATTACCTTATTTGACAGAGAGAGACACAAGAGAGGGAACACAAGCAGGGGGAGTGGAAGAGGGAGAAGCAGACTTCCCGCCGAGCAGGGAGCCCGATGTGGGGCTTGATCCCAGGAGCCTGGGATCATGACCTGAGCTGAAAGCAGACACCCAAAAACTGAGCCACCCAGGCACCCCAATCCTTTTACCTTGTCTTATCCAATGAACTAGGGAACCCATTTCTACAAGGTCATATTAAAATAGCATGAGACCTGAATATTATAACTGAATTAAAAAAAACCACTTCAGCTGAGTCAGTTTTCCAATTTCTCTTATTCTTCATCAATCTTAAGAAAAAGGAGCAAAGGGTAGGGAAGGGATGATTCTTTAAAATAAAGCTGTTAGGTCGGATATACATGTAAATTAAAATTTTATAGTAAAAAGAATAACAACTCTGACCCCAGAAGAGCAATGTTTTCCCTGAGCTAAAACAGACTGCTTAGACAGTTTTTGGCATTCTTAGAAAACTACCTGTACTTAAGAAAGAAAATTAAAGTGCATTTCTTGAAATACAATGAAGACCTTTGTAAGGAATCATGTTATATAATATTTGAGTTACTCTGGTAACAGAATAATCGCTCTCCAGAGAGCCTCATATCTTATTCTCTGGAATTTGTAAATATGCTACCTTACATGGCAGACAGACTTTTACAGATGTGATTAAGGTTAAGGACTTTGAGATGGAACAATTATCCTGGATTATCTGGGTGGGCTCAATCAAATCACGAGTCCTTAAAAGCAGTGAACCCTCCCTACTATGGCCAGAGATAAAGATGGGATAACAGAAGGGTCAGAGAGAAGGAATTCCAGCTTCTATTGCTGAAGGTGGAGGAAGGGGGTCACTAGCCAAAGAATGTGGGTGTGGCCTCTAGAAGATGGGCTTTAAAAGCAAGGAAATGAACTCTTTCTTTGAGCCCCTAGAAAGGAACACAACCCTGCTGACACTATGATTTTAGCCCATATCAACTACCCCACAGAACTATAAGATAATAAATTTTCACTGTTCTAAGCCACCAAGCTTGTAGTAATGTGTTCGCCAGCATAAAAAACTAGTACAGTATCCTATACCCTATAATGGGATGTCCTGTTAACAAAATTTGTCAACTGAACTAGTATAATTTTATTTATTTATTTATTTATTTTTAAAGATTTTATTTATTTATTTGAGAGAGAAAGAGAGAATGAGAGATAGAGAGCATGAGAGGGAAGAGGGTCAGAGGGAGAAACAGACTCCCCGCTGAGCAGGGAGCCCGACAAGGGACTTGATCCCGGGACTCCAGGATCATGACCCGAGCCGAAGGCAGTCGCTTAACCAACTGAGCCACCCAGGCGCCCCTGAACTAGTATAATTTAAGGTAGAGTCTTTCCATAAAAATTTTTAAATATATGCTTTAAATCCATTTTAACCCTTTCAGACAATGGTCCAATATTAAGTGTTACAACTGGGTGAGTCAACAGACCTTGTTGCCATGTGACAAAAACAAGTTTGCCTAAGTGCAAAAACAAGTCTGTGATACCAAAGAGAAGCCAGTACATGGTGACCACCCTTCCCCATTCCTGTAGATTACTCACTCAATGAATTCCTCTTTACACTGCTGTAGCATCTCACATGTCTGCTGGATCTCTTGTTCACTCAAAAGCACCAACATCCCAATGGTTAGGTGAAGCTTTTTGGGATTCTGGAAAATGGTGCTATCAACCCCATGATCCTGTTATCAAAGAGAGAAAAACAAAAAACTCAGCCCACATTAAAGTAAATGGCAGGAATAGAATTTAGAGTCCAAAGGTAAGCCCACATATCTATGACCAAATGATTTTCAACCAGATGCCAAGACAATTTAATGGAGAAAGAAGAGTCTCCTCAACAAACGGTGCTGGGACAACTGAATAACCACTTGCAAAAGAATAAAATTGGACCCATACCTCATACCATATGCAAAAATTACATCAAAATGGATCAGTGACCTAAATACAAGAGCTAAAACCATAAAACTCTTAGAAGAAAGAGTTTTCTTAGGGGAAAATCTTTATGACCTTGGACTTGGCCATGGATTCTTAGATAGGAATTCAACAGTATGGGCAACAGAAGACAAAAACAGATAAATGAAACTTCACCTAAATTAAAAACCTTTGTATATCAAATGACACTATTAAGAAAGTAAAAACACAACCTACAGAATGACAGAAATATTTGCAAATCATATATCTGATAAAGGTGTATATCCATAATATATAAAGAACACAACTCCACAACTAGAAAATAAAGAACCCAATTTTTAAAATAGAAAATGAACTTGAGGGGTGCCTGGGTGGCTCAGTCAGTTAAGCATCTGACTCTTGATTCTGGCTCAGGTCATGATCTCAGGGTCATGAGATCGAGCCCCACCTTGGGCTTCACCCTGAGCATGGAGCCTCAAGATTCTCTCCCTCTGCCTCTCCCCTACACTCAAGAAAGAAAGAAAGAAAGAAAGAAAGAAAGAAAGAAAGAAAGAAAGAAAGAAAGAAAGAAAGAAAGAAAATAAACTTGAGTAGACATTTTTCCAAAGAAGACATACAAATGGCCAATAAGCACATGAAGATGTTCAACTTCGTTAGTCGTTAGGAGAATGCAAATCGAAACCACAAAAAGGTACCATTTCATAACCACTAGGCTGGCTATAATCAAAAAGCAGAAAATAAATGCTGGCAAGGATATGCTTAATGGGTACAGAATTTCCTTTTGGGGTGATGAAAATGTTTCAGAATAATACACAGCTGGTAGTTGCACAACTCTGTAAATGCACAAAAGGCCACTTTAAAATGGTTAATTTTGTGTTACGTGAAATTTACCTCAATAAAAAAAAATTGTTTTTTAAAAGTAACTGGTAGCCTGAAAGAATGGCATGCCCAAGAGAAACAGAATGCCATCTAAATGTAGGCTCTAAGAATATCTTTTGCTCCTTTATCAACTTCGCTGGCCCAGAGCAACTGGGCCTCTTACACGATTCCCTAAAGAACAATATACTCTATAAAAAACACCATTTCTATCTTAGCAGACACTGCAGGTAAAATATTATGTGTTAAGAATAAATTCTCCCAAGCAGAGAGATGAGTGAAAAATGACTTTGGAGAGATATCTAGACACTGGAGTTGCCATATCAAATATAGTCATCCTTTTTTGTCATTCATTATTCCTTGCACTTTAAAACATTTGTCTCTGGGTAGCAAAAATAGTAAATATATGGGAGCCTCGGTGGCTCAGTTGGTTAAGCGGCTGCCTTTGGTTCAGATCATGATCCCAGAGTCCTGGGATCGAGCCCCGCATCGGGCTCCCTGCTCTGTGGGGAGCCTGCTTGTCTGTGGGGAGCCTGCTTCTCCCTCTCCCTCTGCCTGCTGCTCTGCCTACTTGTGCTCCTTCTCTCTCTCTCTCTGTCAAATAAATAAAATCTTTAAAAAAAAATAGTAAATATACTCATAAATCTCCCTTTTTAAAAAAACTGAATGAAATTCACTTAACAAACAATTAACCATTTTAAAGTGTACAATTTAGTGATATTTATTGTATTCACAATATTGTGCAACCATCAGTCCTCCTTAGTTTCAAAACCTTTGCGTCCCATAAAAACACTCCATAATCATTAAATAATCATTCCCCATTCCCTATCACTCATCCCCTGGTAACCTTTAATTTGCTTTTTATCTCTTTGGATTTGCCTATTCTGGATGTAGCATATAAAAGGAATCATAAAATATATGACTGCTGTGTCTGGCTTTTTTCACTCAGTATGTATTCAAAGTTCATCCAAATTGTACCATGTATTGGTACTTCATTACTTTTTATGGCTGAATTATATTCCATTGTTTGTATATAACATATAACATACAAACTTGTTTATTCATTCATCCCTTAATGGCCATTTGTGTTGTTTCCATCTTATGGCTATTATGAATAATGCTGCTATAACCATTCATGTACAAGTTTCTGTGTTACCATGTTTTCAGTTCTTTTCAGTATAAACCTAAAAGTGGAACAGCTTGGTTAATACAGTAATTCTAATGCTGGGTTAATATAGTAATTCTAATGCCTAAATTTTTGAGGAACCACCAAACTGTTTTCCACAACAGCTGAATCATTTTAGATTCTTAGCAGCACTGTACAAGGGTTCCTATTTCTCTCCACCTTTGCCAACACTTACTACTTTCCTTTTAAAATTTTATTATAGCCATCCTAGTGGGCATGAAATGGTATTTCATTGTATTTTGATTTGCATTTCCCTGTTGACCTATGATGTTGAATATCTTCTCATGTCCTAGCTGGACACCTCCTCTGGAGAAATGTCTATGCAAATTCTTTGCCCATTTTCTATCTTTTTATTGTTGAGTTGTACGAATTCTTTAAATATCCTGATACTAGCCCCATGTCAGATCATGAATCCCTTTTGAAGGAAGTAGGTCTCAAGTTTCATTATATTCATCCTGCAAATGAAGACAAGAAAAAGAGTTGAGAATCTTCTCCTCCAACAAGAGTAAAGCAGGAATTTTATCTCTGAATTGCAAGTTTTGGTCCCATAATCTGATTCTTGGGCTAATAAACCACCCCAAGGCAGAGAAATATATCTATCAAACACAGATAGCTTACGTTCTGTTCTTGGCTTGCCTAAGACTGCCTAATTTTTGCCTTGGCAACGGGAGTTAATAGATTATTCATTTTCTAAGCGTTAATGGAGCTTGAGCTATTTTTATATCTGATGAAGAGTTTTGTGATTCTACACATCAACCCAAATTGCCTCACTTAATGAAAGTGATTTTAAGGAACAATCAGCTTTAAATGTGTCAAGGAAGGCTAAGTGCAATGTTTATCACCCCAGCTGCTCTAACCCATGGCAGAACCTGTCACTTTAGAAAGGCATGCGAAGTGTTAAAAAGTCCCTCAAATGATTCCAATATGCACAACTCCATCCCAAACTACAGTTGAGAATTGCTCCCCTAGTAATAAGAGCTAATATTTTTTTAGCCCTTATTCTCTTCCAGGCATTTCCTATGCACTTTACATAGACAAACAGCCTATGAGGAAAGATGTATTATCCCCATTTTACAGATGAGGAAACTGAGCTGAGGCACAGAGAAATAAAGTCACTTTCCCAAATAACACTGCTAGTAAGGGATGAAGCCAAAATTCAAACCCAAGCAGTCAGGCCACAAGCCTACACTTTTGATCAATATTATATTGCCTCACTAGTAACAGCCGCCTAGAGGAGGATGGAATAAATGTGATCATCACCCAGAGGCAAGTCCTCACACATTTCAACAAAGCTCACACAATAAATGGATCTGATCACTAGATGGAGAATAAAGCAAATCTCATAATTCTCTGAAAAGTGATATTTGCCTTTCCTTGATGTGACACAAAAGCATGATCTATAAAAGAAAAAAAAAAAGGGATGAATTAAACTCGATCAAAATTAAAAACCTGTACTTCAAAAGACTCCATTAAGAAAATGAAAAGACAAGCCACAGAGAAAACTATCTGGGAGAAAAATACTTACAAATCATCTATCTAGTAAATATAAATACATAAAAATTCTTAAAATTCAATAATAAAAAGATATATGATTCCATTTAAAAATGAGCAAAGAACCTGAATAGGCATTTCACCAAAGAAGATATACTAATGACTAAGAAACATGTGAAAAGATGCTCAATATCAATAGTCATCAAGGAAATGCACATCAAAACCAAAAATGAGGGCGCCTGGGTGGCTCAGTTGGTTAAGCGACTGCCTTCGGCTCAGGTCATGATCCTGGAGTCCCGGGATCGAGTCCTGCATCGGGCTCCCTGCTCGGCAGGGAGTCTGCTTCTCCCTCTGACCCTCCCCCCTCTCATGTGCTCTCTCTCTCTCCCATTCTTTCTCTCAAATAAATAAATAAAAAATCTTAAAAAAAAAAAATGAGATATTGCTTCACGCCCCATCAGAATGACTATAATCAAAAAGACAATAAGGACATGGGGAAACTGAACTGCTCCCACATCGCTGGAGTAAAAGGCCATGACATACACAACGCATTCTAAAGTGGTTCAGAAAGAAAGAAAAACAAGAGGAAGAATGATAAAACAGAGTAAAATACTAACAATAGGTGAGTAAAGGGTACTATCCTTAGTCTTACAACCTTTCTGTGAGTTTAAAATTATTAGTATCCTATTGCTGCTATAACAAATTACCACAAATTTAGTGGTTTAAAACAACACAAATTTAGGGCGCCTGGGTGGCTCAGTCGTTAAGCATCTGCCTTCAGCTCAGGTCATGATCCTGGGGTCGTGGGATCGAGCCTCGTATCGGGTTCCCTGCTCGGCAGGAAGCCTTCTTCTCCCTCTCTCACTCCCTCTGCTTGTGTTCCTGCTCTCGCTACCTCTCTGTCAAATAAATAAATAAAATCTTAAAAAAAAACCCAAAAATCCACAAATTTACTGTCTTACTACCTAGCAAAAGAAAGCTCTAGAACTCTTGCTTCCTTACCTTATTCTTTGAGAGCCTATCACTTCAGTAAACCTGATTTCACTTGCCAAGAACACACTGAATACTGGGAAACAAAACACAGAGAACAAAAAAGAGCAGGAAAAAGAACAGACAGGATACCTTTAAAGGCTACACAATCTGAATTCTTTTGGAGAACCCTGAGTCATAAGCCTTCAGTCTTTAATTGTATTGGAAGTCATATAATTTATACATAAT